TATAAAATATAATTTATTTTATTTTTATTTGTAAATTTTAAAGGATTTCTATAATATATTTATATTTGAAGATTTTTTACAATATTTATACTCACGATCTGTTATAATAGCATCTATTCGTAAATCTGTCCGCCACAATGGATACGAAAAATCTGCCACCACAACATCGAGATAATAAGAACTCATTCCATATTGATGCATGTTTGCTGCGATACTCTCGTCTTTTTCCCTTGTCTGACACATTCAATACGAAAATTCCTCAACTTTTTTTCTGCTACTTTGTATATTAAACTGATATTATGCCTGATAGAGAAATAATAATTGAACTCTTGTTAACACGATACCTTTTGCGATATCCGTGTAGGTCTCGTACGGCCGTGAAGCATTAAAAAATCGATATCTGTTCCGAATGTATATCCTCCAAATTGAGATGCGGCAATTAACAAGGAGCCTGTCCCCACAAATGGATCAAAAACTAAGTTTCCATTTCTAATTTGTGCCTGATTTGCCATTATCAGTGACAGCTGGGGATCCATTGATGTATTTCCTATAAATTTCCTAGTTTTTAATGATAACTTTTGAATTAACTCTCGTTGACCATCGGCAATCTATAATAAAATGATGTTATAGCCTATAAATAATGATTATGTATAATTATATTACTCACCCATTTTCCAAAGAAATATTCATGGGGTTCTTCAGGAATGTTGTTGGGATTAAGTCCATAATATTCTATATAGCATAAAGTGATATCCGGATTTTTCAATTTAACTGGACCTTCAAGAGGTAGATAACTGAAAGACTTCTCCCAACATTGCATTAACTTAATTGTATTACGTTATTTTTCAAATGAACTATTAAATAATTATTTTATTTTTAGCAGTTATACTTTATTTAAGCTTTATATAGTTTATTCAAGTGTTTTAAGTTATATGTTTCTTATAGTAATCGAGAAATATCTGCTTACTTCGATTTTATTTATTTTCTCACGTTGCGAGAAATGTTTACAGAAAGTCTCCACTACAATCTTAAACGATTTTTTTTTATCTACAGCCAAAGTCTCCAAATTTTTAATTGAGTAAGCTTTCAAAGAATTGTGTAATTCTTCATTTTTTTTAGCCTGTCCCCAAAGTTCTAAACAAAAACGCAATGAGACTGCCCTACTTGCAATTTGATGTATTAAATTTTCATCAGATAAATCCACAATCCAGTAAGGCTGAAAAAATTTGACAAATTTGTTTCTCTATTCATACTATACTGAACGGTATTTGTTTCAATATATATTAATAACATTTTGTTATATTATAATTAAAATTTTCATATCTTTCCTTAAAAATTGCATATTAAGTTATATGCAAGTTTAAAATACAGTTTGATATTTTTTTAAATAATAACAGCATTTTCATATAAATCATCAAATATTTCTCATTTGCAAAATTATTTTACAATTATTGTTACAATATAAATTGCATTAGAAACATTTCTTGCAAAGAAATTGTTTTTAAAATTATTCCAGTGAATATGTTCCATTTAGTGTGTGTGTGTGTGTGTGTGTGTGTGTGTGTGTGTGTGTGTGTGTGTGTGTGTGT